TTCTCTCTCTCTCTCTCTCTCTCTCTCTCTCTCTCTCTCTGTCTCTCTCTTTCTTTTTAGCTTACTTTTTTTTAAATTGACATAGAGTGTTCTGAAGCACTTAGCATTTCTATGTCTGAAACTTTCAGATTTTTTTTCTAGTTATATTGAAATATTCAATAAATCATAGTCTGTGGTTACTCTGCTGTCTGTCCATCTTTCTTTCTTTCTTTCTTTCTTTCTTTCTTTCTTTCTTTCTTTCTTTCTTTCTTTCTTCTTTCTTTCTTTTTCTCTTTTGCAGTGCTGAGGATTGAACCCATGGCTTCCTGCTGAACTGCGTTCCCAATCCCTTGCGGGGCTTTAGAACCCTAGAACTAATGTCTGTCTCTAACTGCATCTTGGTACTGTGTTCCTAATAGAGAAAACATGTTTTAACATGACGTAGGGCCCTTAGGAATGGCCTGAGTGCTGATGCTGCAGGCATTGCTCTGCACGGTCAGCATCCTGAGCAACCGAGAACAGACCGGAAGCTCTCACTAGGCCAGGATCTAAGGAACGCACAGCCTGCTCCTTGTGACTTGGACCAGACCCTTCTCTCCCCCAGAAAATGCGGGAGGCTACCCTTTGATCCCTTCGCCTTAGCTGACTTGGCTTTCCTAATGTGGTACTGTCCGGCCCTCGGGGAGAGGAAGCCCCAGCTCAGGTAGCTTCTAGGAAGAAGCTGCATGGGCCTCACCCACTGCTCCAGGAGAGGTCAGAAGAGTCGAAGCAAGTGTAGGAGGAGTGGCTGGCTTTGGGCTAACCGAAACCTCGGGAAACTTATTTATAACTCTCTGGTTATACATTAAACTTTAGGAACACGAGTCATTTTAGATCCCTGTGTTACTATTTGCTTATAAAAGTACCATGAAGACATACCCCATGACACTGGAAAAGCTTCAAACATCTAATCTGCCATACCCTGTACTCTTTTGGTAACTCATGCCAAGCTAAGTTTTTTCACAGCTCTCTACAGTCCGTAGTCAAGAGCTCTGTCCACGCTGTAGTGGACACAAACTCCACTTAACCGAGGAACGTGGCCTCAGATAGTGAGCTGGGCTCTGGGCCCTTGGGATTGCACTTTTATAAGAGACCTGACTGTTGTGCATGCTGCTGTTACTTGGACCGTACTTAGGATGCATGAGTCTAAGCCAGGAGAAAGCAAATCATGCCTCAGGCATAGTCACTGCTTGGAGCACAGTGGGACTCCTTGGTGCTTTCCCATCAGGTGCAGTGAATTCAAGTTGTGACAGAGACCATAGGATACCTGCTCTTGATAGAAAAGAATGTCCTGATTATTAATTTTTTTCTGCTTTTTCTGAAGCACTAATTTCTTATTGAATAACTAAATAATTAACCTGCAAAATATATCTGCTTATGTTTCCAAATGTGTATAAATAATGGTTTGTTAAGAAAATTGAAATGTAATAACATTTTAAGTTAATTTATCACAAGTATTTTCTCAATCAAGGACTGACTCATTAACAGCATATTTGCTCTGAGGTGGCAAGACTTTTTATATTTAAAAAATGGGGTTGGAGGTTCTTATGTTTGGAAAGGCATCTCCAGAACTTACTGATGGAGTTTTCTTCCTTCTATTCTGTAAAATAATAAAAGGAAGAGAGAGAAGCCCTGAAGATTTCTTATTATACTAGATCTGTTCTGGCAAGGATGCAAATTCTGATGGGAACTTTGAATTGTGCCTGCCCTGAGACCATTCAGAGTGTGACGTGCGTCCTTCCATGAAGGGATTCGTCCCGGTCTGCTCTCATGGCTCAGGCTGTGAGCATCTAGGGGCATCCACAGGGAATCTGCGATATGTTACCTAGCATGATGTAGCGCCCATACTCAGGAACTGCTGCCTAATTTATCATGAAACCTAAAGGGGTTCTTACTTAAATAAAAATGGAAGTTTACCCAGGATGTGTGTGTTTTTGGTGTGTTTAGGTAACATCTCTGCTTTGATCACATTGTTAACTCTTATGAAAAGATTTCCTTAGGTACCAATGTCAGGATTTTAGTGTAGGAAATATATCCATTAATCAGTCATATTCTTTTTTTTCTGTAGTCAGGTGTTTACATTTTGCTTTGCAGAAAAAGTTAGCTGCTATGCCTGACCACACAGATGTCTCCCTGAGCCCAGAAGAGCGGGTCCGCGCCCTGAGCAAGCTTGGGTGCAATATCAGCATCAACGAGGACATCACACCTCGCCGCTACTTCCGGTCAGGAGTAGAGATGGAGAGGATGGCGTCTGTGTACTTGGAAGAAGGGAACTTGGAGAATGCCTTCGTTCTTTACAATAAATTTATAACGTAAGTTTTTTGTTGTCCTTTATTGGTTTTTGAGGCCTTTAAAATGAGAAAATAGAAAAAAAAAATACATGATATTTTCATGCGATGTGTGAGATAGCAGAAGGTTAATTCAAACCAGTTGTACTGTTTTTCAAAGCAATAAATGTGAAGGTTTTTATTTACCTGTACATGTATTGAAAAGCACCCAGATTTCCTTTCTGGGTTTAGGAATGAGTGGAAGGTCAGAGAGGAGACGAGGCTACCCGCAGATTGGCCCAGTGGCTGGGGTGCCTCACTCTTACTGGGGAGTTTCTTATTCCATGCTGTTCCTTTCCCTTGGGAATCCAAGCTTTCTGAGAGCAGGAGCCCTCCTGCAGTTCCACTTACAGCATCTGGAACATGTCACCAACATTTAAAAAAATTTAATATGGTGCATTGAGCCCTGGGGACAAGTACAGAAACAGAGGTAAAGTGGTAATAGAGTTGACATAGTAAGCAAGTTATAAGAAATGTTGATTTGATAATGACATGTAGTCCATGAAATCCTGTAGCAACAAAGAATGTAGAACCACAAGTTCCATTAGAGATAACAAATGAGGCTTCAAAGTATTCTGAAATTTGAAGTAATATGAAGTTAGTGCCTAAGATAATGGTAATTCTAAGGGCTTGGGTTATTTGTTTTCAATTACCTTCTGTAAGGCTATGATGAGCTCAAGTAATTGAGATACCTGGGGCTAATGATACAGATGCGTTTAATGATGGAATTTCTAGTGGGGTGAGAAGGTTAATTCCCAAAGGAGGTCAGTAACCTCCTAATTCTGGAAAGGGTGCTAGGCTAGAATGGTAGAAAGCTCCGAAGAGCCCTGAAAAAAAGAATACCTCTGAGATAATAAATAAAATTATTCCGTAGCAGAGGCCTTTTTGCATGGTTGATGTACGGTGGCCTTGATATGTTCCTTCCTGTGTGATGTCATGTCATTATTGGTATATAGTTATAATGTTAGTTAGTAGACTTAGTGAAAGAAGAGTTATTGAATTAAAGTGGAATCATACAACTAAGCCTGCAGTAAGTAAAAAGGCTGATAAAGCTCCTGTAAGAAGTCAAGGGCTAGGGTTAACTATGTAGTATGTGCATGTTTGATGGGGCATTAAGTATTCTCATGTAGGTAAAGGCTAACTACTAGGGTAAATACACATGCTTGAATTAACTCTACAGCGATTTCAAGGATTGTAATAGCAGGATAATGAATGTCATTAAAGCAGCTGGAGGGCTAATAGAGCATAATATGGAGGTTGTTCCTCCATTAAGATGTATTTATGAATGTCCAGCAGTGATGTTAGCAGTTAAATGAACTACTAAGGCTATAGGTTGAATAAATAAATGGATTGTTTCAATGATAATGATTACTGGGATGAGAAGGATTGGTGTGCCTTGGGGAAGGACATGAGCTAAGGATGTTTTTGTTTTGTAGCAAAAACCCAGGATTACAGCTCCGGCTCAAAGAGGGATTGCTATGCCTAAATTTATAGATAATGGAGTTGTAGGGGTGGAAGAGTGTGGTAATAATCCTAGTAAGTTGGTTGTTCCGATAAATAAGATTAGTGAAATTAGTGTAAGGGATCAAGTTCATCCTTTAGTGCTATGAATTAATATTATTTGCTTTAGAATTAGTTTAATTAATCAGAAGTGATTCTTCTCCTTGGGAATCCAAGCTTTCTGAGAGCAGAACCCCTAAAAAAAAAAAGTGATTCTGGGAGTAGCCTTAAGCTCCATATAGTACTTACTATTATTTAAGGCCATTTATTTGGTTACATAAAAATCCTACATACAAAAGTGCTTTCAAAATGTTAAATGAAAGTGGCTACATCAAAAATAGCTGTGTTGGGGCCGGGGAGATGGCTCAGTGGAATAAGCGCTTCGCTGGCAAGTGGAAGGGCCTGAGTTCAATCCCTGGTTCTGCCAAAAAAAAAAAAAAAAAAAATAGCTGTGTAAAACAACATCTTATGCACTAGGAATTTGTAAGAATGGACAAAAAGGGAATTTGAACTTCTCTTACTTGTTTAGCATTTTAACTGGTTAGCGAGAGCCCTGCCCAATAATTATTTACTCTAAGCTGAATGGTTTGTGGTTTGTTGGTTTTAACTGAAATTATATGGTGGTTAATTTCACTAGCTTATTTTTAATTTTATTTTAATTGACAAGTAATTATGTCTATGGTGTACTTATATTTTAAAAGATATATACATTGTGAAATAATTAAATCAAGGTAATTAATATATCCATCACCTCACATACTTGCCATTTGCTAAGTAGTGAGAATGCTCAAAGCCTACTCTCTTGGCAGTTTTTACTATGACCACAGTGTTGTCCGCGGCTACACTGGGCCTCCTGAATTTATAGGAGGCTAAGGGGCTGACACATGGTGCTCTTTGACTAACATTTCCCTACCACCATCCCCTGTACCCCCAGCCTGCCTGGACTCCCTGCTTCTTGAGGCTGGCTTCCGAAGTCTCATGTTCGAAGGCAATGATGGAGCAGTTTCAGTTTCACTCCTTGAGTTTGGGGGTGGGCCTTACTCTGAGTAGCTCAAGAAGTTGAGCAGAGGAGGTGGTTGAAGAGTATGTTCTGTCATGCTACCCAGGACAAAATTAAAAACAGTTTACCTAGCATCTGCATTTCTAATTACTTACCTTGCATGTGTAGGTGGAAATTTAGAGAATGAGTGATAACCATCCTGTATGGAAAAATCAGTTGTTTTTTAGGTTAAGCCATATACATGAAATTCAAGGTTATCTCCTACCACTGATAACAACTTTGCACAACTTTTGTGTTTCTGCATTGTGTTATGAACAGACAGTGTTTTCCACTTTCTGCTCCAGTTTTGCTCACTCTGGTATAGAATCGTAAGTACAGTAAAGGAGAAAAGCCACTAAGCCCCAAGCTCTGGAGGAGTCAGAATGGTGGAATTCACTCGTGTTGATAGCTGGGGGATCATTTGTGATTCACTTATTATCTCTGCACCTCAATACCCTTTCTACAAATGAAAGACTTATGGGAGAAAATCTCTGAAGTTCCTTCAGCTCTTCGCTTTTGTGATTTTAACTGTTCATGAAGTCGGAGAGAGCCAACAACTTCCATGCTGCTTCTATACGCATTAACTTTCTCATTTAAGAAATAGAAGTTATGTTGCCATTTCTGTCTTTCTGTGGCAACAAAATGTGATAAATATGTACGTGTGGTTTGTAGGCAATAGAATCAGTAACTGCAATGCCTTCGATTTTAGTTACAGAAATAGCATTTACCTCCCATTCTGATCTGTGAGGGAAGAGCTGTTCATTCACTTTTCAGATTTGTGCTGACTACTTGCTATTAGCTGGCCACCTCCTTTAGGCTGGGAAGCATCAGTGAATAAAAAAGAGAATTTTCTGTCCTGGTGGAAGCAGCATCTGCTTTCCCTGGGAGTGGTGCACCTGGTTTGCAGGGATTTCTCTTTGATGTCCTGCACCTTATTTCTCCCAAAGGTGGTAGAAAAGTAATAGTTAAACAACAGCTCTTAATTCACCATAGATTCTGGTTGCCATCTCCTTTTGTGTGTGTGTGTGTGTGTGTGTGTGTGTGTGTGTGTGTGTGTGCGCAGGGTCTCACTATGCAGCTTGGACTCATAGTGATCCTCCTGTTTTCAGCCTCCCCAGTGCTGGGATGAAAGGGGTGCACCACCATGCCCAGACTCATTGTGCCTTGGGGTGGCCAGTGCTGCATGAGGTACAGGGGATCAAACTACCATCCCTGTGCTTGCCTAAGCAGATACTTAGTCTGCTGAGCCTTCTCGCCAGCGCCCCCCCCCTTTGTAGTTATACATTTTCAGTTAAGAGTTTGCTCTATAGCCAATAGTGCTACTTATTTGCCAGTGAGTATTCAAATCTTTTTCCAGGGTGAAAAGGGATTTACATCGAGCTCTCCAAACTCACATTTTTGTATCATCCTGTTAGTTGCCATAGCACACAAAAATCAGACGGTGCCCGGGACCTGAGAAAGATGTCACCAACTTGGTCTGTTTAGCAGAGACCTGTCTTGACTTTAATCCTGTTAGCATCTGTGCCTGGTTTGCTGAGCTTCCTAGTTTGCAATGGCAAAATAATGCTCATGTCAGCCTTTCGTGAAAAGGTAGATGGAAATGGTTAAATAATGTTATAAAACACATCATTTTTAAAGGCTGCTTCTCTTGTTAGATACTATCATTAAGCTTTTGCTGCAAAGCAATGCTGAGGATGTGTCTTTTTTTTCTCTAGCTTGTTTGTAGAAAAGCTGCCTAGCCACCGAGATTACCAGCAATGTGCAGTACCCGAAAAGCAGGATATTATGAAGGTACCGTGGGGCTGATTCTCCACTGTGGGAGCGAAGGCTCTACAAGTATCCATTATTGGTTCACCAACCCCTTCCTTTCCACCTCTGTCTCTTCCTCTGGAGAGTTTGAACACAAGAAATTCATTCCATTAGCTATGATGTTTCGATTTCTTCTTGGACATTTAATGATGATGACTGAGTCAATGTGTCCTGTCTAATTGATGGTAGCAGATAAAGGAAGGAAAAGAATGAACTCCATCACGTTATGATATGAAGTAATCATTTCGAGTCCTCCCAGAAATTAAGAGAATGGTTATCTGACTTCCTGTACTTGTTTGAGGCAGTCACTTTGTCTGGTTTTAATTACTTTCTATGCCCTGAACCTAGTAATTATTTATGCATTATTGTTATTGCTATTATTGTTGCTATTATTATTTTGATGATATTGGGAATTGAACATAGGGAGTGCTGAGTGACACCCCAGCCACACTTTCGATCCTTCTTTTTTTGAGACTGGGTCTTGCTAAGTTTTCCAGTCTGGACCCAAATTTGCAGTGCTCCTACCTCAGTCTCTCGGGTAGCTCAGATTACAGGCATGCATCACCTTGCCTGGCCAACGTTAACTTTTAGGGCTGCTACAGAGTTCTAGCCACAGTCGTGTACCGCTTCAGTTGACCATGGACCGCATGTTCAATTTGGTCGCATCAAACTATATTGCCTAGAGACATTATGGACACTTTAGTTTGTATAAATCATATAACAGAGTCCTGGGATAACACGTTTTTCAGGATATATGTCCATCCTTAAATGTTATATGACTGTATTTATCTCTTAGAGGACTTGGGCTTAGGATAGTAAGTACTGAGGGGTGGTGCCTGAAATGCTATCAATGAAATAAACAAAAAGGTTGTTGCAACCCACTTATTTATCATGAGCCCTTGTTATGCTATCTCTAGCTAAGAATGCATCCTTCTAAATAAGAATTTCCGATGTTTCTCCTGATTTATCTGTGTTTACATTGGCCTTATTGGGAGTTAAAACACTGCAAAGCCAATCACTGCATGATAATTATTGAGAAATACTTTATTGTGTTACAGAACAAAGACTCTCCTACTAGTCCCTTAAGGCCAGAGGCTGTCTGAAAACAGATGTAGTTAAAATGTTAGGTCACTTACCATTGTTAAATCTTTACACTCACTACATTTCCCTGGCTTTGTATAACATTTTCCCTTCAATCTCTCGTATACTGAACCTCAGAGAATATGAAACTGAAGGTCCTAGGCTGCCAAGGTGACCCTTGCTGGGATTGAGTTATTTTATTAGAAAAAGCAAACTTCTCCAAAAGCATTGCTTTTCTCTGATTTATGCTTATGAGGTAAATGGATAGGTAAATAGTAAATAATAAAGAATTAAGAGAACAAGCGTTTTGGCGGAAGGGCCTTCTGATCAGTAGGAGCCTTGGGCTCTGATCCTACCAGGACCCCTCGCTTGTCGTAAGACGTATAACTGTATCTCTGTCAGTGATGTTGGACCTTTCAGAGCTGTGCCCGGTGATGAACAGCTGGCTGCAGGCAATCACCAGAGACTCACCACATGGCTTCTGTTTCCTTTTCTCCAAACAGAAGTGTGATTGGACCCATCCAGCTTCTCAGATTTTCCTGCCACTAAGGGGGATGTTGTTTGAGATGCAGATTAGCTGACCTTTTCTCCAGGGATGTTAATTTAGTACATTCAAGGACAACCTCAGAGTCTGTACAGTAGTTTCCGAAACATTTCTCAGTATTTTACATTTGGTATGTCTAAGAATTGCTACCTACCCCACACCCTCCAGCTTTCCCTTGTAACTGATGCTACATGATTTCCATATGTAATCTGTATCTACTCCAAAGAATGGGATACTGCTTAAACAAAGAGCTTATCTAATCAGTGTAGCCAATGAAGGTTTGTAAAGGGAACTTTTTTCGTTGTCTTTTCCCTTCCCTTCTTAAAAATGTATCTTGGAGCCCTAGAACAGAGAAGTTTATTTTTCTGTCATCACCTTTGGTTACTAGGTTACTAGGTTTATTAATTTCTAATAAATGCACCAGCTGTTTTTCCTTCTCTGCTGATTGTCTGAAGGAATATACTGAAAATCCCACTAATTGATATGTGTATATATATTTTTAAAAGAAACTGAAGGAGATTGCATTCCCAAGGACAGATGAATTGAAAAAGGACCTTTTAAAGAAATATAACGTAGAATACCAAGAATATTTGCAAAGCAAAGTAAGTTCAATTGGTACATTTATTTCATGACTTTTTCTGTGCAAACATTTTAGAATTTCATTTTATGAGTATTTTCAAGTATCATATGCATTTAAATTAAAAATTAAAGATGCAATGATGTGAAAGCAATAAAAAATTCATGCTGATGTTCAGGTTAAGTACTTGCACCAAAGATGTGGTATTTTTGTTTCCCTAGGGCATCTAATGAGGCGATGCATTAGGAAATAGATTTCCTACAGAGATTTCAACAGAACTTTTAGGCTATTTTTGCCAATGTAACCTTGAGCTCAGTGGTTGCTTTTTCAGATGAACTGAGGCAGTAGGAAGAAGTGAGAACAGTGTATGATTTCTGATGTGTCTGATCATCAGGTCGGAAACACGAATTTGATTCTTTAGTATTATAGTAAGTCATACATACAGAGAAAACAACAGCTACTAGTATCGATGACATGCGATCACAGCACCAAAGAGGTGGTAATTCCTTATTATTATTAAATAAAAAGTGAGAGTGATAATGATGTCTCAGGACAGGCACTGAAAAAAGACATTGATCAAGCCATAATATATTCAGTTTACAATGTGAATTCTAAAATATTGTTGCCTTAGTGTAAGTGCTGTGTGTGTGTGTGTGTGTGTATGTGTGTGTGTGTGTGTGTATTTGCTTTGGCGGTTGCCATCAGCATGGCTTTAGTTCAATCTCCTTGCCTCTGTCTTGGCTTTCTTGGGCATGACGAGAAGGCTGGTTTGCATGAGGCATTTTAACTAAGGGATAGAAGGCTGAGCTCAGAAGTATGGGTATTAGTGACTTGATTTGAAATGTGAAAGACAGCTGTGATTTTGTTGAGCAAAATCAAAGCCACAGCGAGGGTGAACAGTGCTCGGCTCGGGTCTCCCACACCCAGCTCTGGTCTCCCACACTTGCTGGGAGGGGTATGCTCAGCTGCTGTGCCACCTTCTGCCTGGTGACACAGACTGCCTTGCCAAGCACACTACTGTCCTATGTAGAAATACGTGGGAGTGGATTGGCATCAGCTACACTTAGAAGAGGTAACCAAACTGCCCTAGAAGCCCTGGCTGCCAACTGCTCCTTTGTGGACTAGACGTTTTTTAGAAATGCAGGATCTAATCTCTCTCCTTCACTACCTCCACCATACAGTAACTCCCCATATCTAGTTTCTAACAATATCATTTGGGAAGCTTATTAAAAATTTATTGTTCTCTGATCTAATAATGCCTGGATATTTTGTTGGGACTGAGGAGCTCAGGATTCTGCATTTGTAATAAAATTTCTGGTAAATTCTGATAGATATGGTACAGCTGGGGAGATGGCTTAGTGGAATAAGTGCTTCCCTGGCAAGTGGAAGGGCCTGAGTTCAATCCCTGGTTCCACAAAAAAAAAAAAAAAAAAGTGTTAAGAACTATTTCTTTGTGATGCTTTTTCCATAAAATTCTAGTAGAGAATGAGTCTTAAAACCCAAATGACAAAAGTTCTGGGTCAGTCCTGTGCCATACAGTTTCCTGTAATGCTGAACGGGTCCTATTGGACACTTTCAATATGGCAGCCAGCAGCCACGTGTCGCTATTGGGTCCTGAAAATATTATCATTGAAGCATTGAATTTCTAGTTTGCTTTACTTTTTGTTAAGTGTACATACATAGCCACATGTGGCCACCTGTGGCTGGATGGGGCAATGCAGTCCTCAGGAAAGATTTTGTTTCATACAGACTGGCTGGTCAGGCTAAGCAGATAACCCTGACCTTGGTTTTCCAATATTTAGAAGTACAAGAGAAGGGATGGAACTTGGCTGTCATAGCCCATGTCTGGTAAAGTATGAGACGATTGTGAACTGCTGCCTCAATCAGAATAAGGGACTTTTTTTATGGTGTGTGTCTTCCTCATGGTTTTATGAGTGTCCCTTTGGATGGATCAGTCTCCAGCTGTCTCTGGCTGCTAGAAGATGGAAAGTATGTAATCCCAGCTTGATGTTTTTCCCTTAGAAAGTAACCTTTTCTTTTGCCAACCACATTTTTTTAGAACAAATACAAAGCTGAAATTCTCAAAAAACTGGAGCATCAGAGATTGATAGAGGCAGAAAGGAAGCGGATTGCTCAGATGCGCCAACAGCAGCTAGAGTCAGAGCAGTTTCTGTTTTTCGAAGACCAACTCAAGAAGCAAGAATTAGCCCGTGGCCAGGCTCGAAGTCAGGAGACACTGGCACTGTCGGAGCAGATCGATGGGAAGGCTCTCTCCTGCTTTTCTACACACCAGAACAATTCCTTGCTGAATGTATTCACAGATCAACCTAACAAAAGTGAAGCAACCAACTATACTAGCCATTCACCTCCTGTCAACAGAGCCTTAAAGCCAGCAGCTACTCTGAGCGCCGTGCAGAGTAAGTTGATACCACGTGCCCCTCAAGATAGGCTGCTCTGGTGGAACCATTCCCCTGTGGCAGCTGAGGGGTGGGGTCTGTTCATTAACTTACTAACTGTAGCAGGACCTCTCAATTAAATGGAATCACTGGCAGAACTAACTTGTCTGTGCTCTGATGCTTTTGCTATATATGATTTTAAAATTCAGGAAACGTGACACACCCAACAGTGAAGCAGACTGTAATAAGTGGGGCAACTTCCTATTGAGCACAGGGTTTTTTTTGTTGTTGTTTTTTTATTTGGTACGGGGTCTTGTGATGCAGCTCAGACTTGTAGTGATCCTTCCGTCTCACAGCCAGTTTCAGTGGCTGCCACAGCACACCTGGGGCTCCAGGTCCAGCGGGCACATGGTACTGGGGATTGAACTCAGGACCTTCTACTTGCCAGGCAGGCGCATAGACCACTGAGCTATTTCTCCAGCCCCTGAGCACAGGGTTTTACATGGGAATTCTTTTTTTTTTTTTTTTTTTTTATCATTCTCTCTTTCCAAATTAATCCTGACACATCTGTCAGTTACATGTGTTGTTTACATGGGAATTCTTAGCATTTGTTTTCTTCCATGTAGCTTAACTAGGAAACACATAAATCTTAAAGGTAAACGGTAGTCTGGAGAGAAAAGAAGTCACTCAAATAATTGTCCAGACTTTTACTCAACAGCATAATGGTTTGGCATTTTTCATGAATCAAAATCTCTCTTACATAGTTAATCTCTAAATGGAGTATGTATTTCTGCCAACAATTAATGCTGGTTAATACTGTAAGAACTATCCTGGCAAGTACCCAGAATCAAATGAGGAATTCTTTTAGGGAGACACTGTCAGATGGAATCTATATGCCTAATTATTTTTAAAGTATAATTATGATAGGCACCCATTTTATAAACTACTTTATTACTAATTACTTCCCAAAGCATACTTCTGCTCACTGGTCATCAACTTTCATTAAATATAAACAACACATAATAAGTATAATGAGTATTTATTCTGTATCTTGTAGGAGACGAAGTGTGTTCTGGGTAGCCTCTGCGTTTAGTGGCCTATGTGCTATGCACTAGAGGAAAATACACAAATACATGGAGATAATTGGCAAGGCACAGACATGTAAAAATGCTCACAATTTAGGCCTTTGTTTATAAAGTAATTTATATACAAAATGTAATTTTATTTTCTTTTTAGTCATCTGTCTTTTAAGAATTTTAAAGCACAACGCAGAAAATGACATACCTGATAATTTCATTTTTGGACTTTATATTTCACTACGGTTACTCTCCAAAAACTATTTTGAAGGACAGGATATAGGATTTGCTTTTTAGCTTTTTGTCCTTTCTCTGTGTCATAGATTTAGTGGTTGAAGGATTGAGATGTGTGGTTTTACCGCGAGATCTTTGCCACAAATTCCTGCTGCTGGCTGAATCGAATACAGTAAGAGGAATAGAAACTTGTGGGATCCTCTGCGGAAAGCTGGTATGGCCTTTTCTCCTGTCTCTCTGCACAAGAAACTGTTGGTAGTATTGGCTTTCTTGTGATTAGTAGAGCAAAATAAAAGACTGCTAAGAGTTTTAAATATTATGAAATTCATTTTATATAGAATAATTGCTTAAATCTATCATTACTCATGGACTATGTTTCTAGAAAATGCGTTGTTAAATTTCAGAAGCATCATCAAAGCTTGTTTAAAGGAATCAAACCATAAATTAAATCTTGGTTTAGAAAAATGGTAGACTATAAGTCTTCAAGTTTACAAATTTACCTTATTTGCTACATCAAAGTTCATGACAATTTCTGGTTTATAACACTTTTTTAAATTAACTACCTGTCCTTCTGGCAAATATCTTCCCATCCTTTTTCCAAATACATGTGGAATGAACTTAAAGTTTCGTTGTTTTCTTTAATTCAAAGCAATAGATTCAGTACCCCTGAATCTATAATCACTGGTCATGTCTGAAAAAGATGTTGCCAGAAATATGACAGAAGACAATGTCAAAATACAAGGGGCAAATGAGAAAGGACCAATTCGATTTCCTCTTGCAGTAAAGACCAAGAACGTCTTCTCAAGTGTCCTTTCACAGGTTCTTATAAGTATCAGTCTGTATTTCTGGGCCCCGCGCACAGTCCCAGTCTTTAACATTTAGCATGAACACTAAGTTTCATCTGACGTTTATTCTCTGACTGAATTTCAGTGTTTCATCATTCATTTTCCTCCAAGAGAGGAAAACACTGGACATGGGCACAGAAGGGCCCATCGTCTCCTCCCCGGTCACCTTTGTTACTCCTTGTTGCTTTATCCCCCTCAAGTTATGTTTCATTTGGTTGGTTGATTCATTGATTCATTATCATTCATCAGACAAATAAAACAAAATGAATATTTATGTATGCTGGCACCTTGATAGGCATCCAGTGGCCTGGAATAGCCCAGTTTCTGCCACAGGAAGCTTGCAAGGTACTTAGGAAGGACGGCTATTCCAAGCTCTGGTGGAAGTGCAGAGCAGCATGCAAGTGCGGCCTTGTGTGGGGATGATGGGGGGCGGGCTTGCAGCCACAGTTCAGGGGACAGTGTGCAATCCTCCAGGAGCTCCTAGCACAGTGTGGGGAGGGCCAGGCAAGCCCACCAGGGAAGACAGCTGCTTCCAGGTTGAAGGCTGCCACAGGCGTTGCATTGCATTGCCGCCTCAGCAGCCTCTTCTTTCCAACCTTTACCTTTTGCCTCAGAGGCCTAACATGCTTTTCTTTCCCTTTTATTTAATTATAAAAATCAAAACATTAGCAAAATTATAGGAGAGTCTAGTTAAACCCAATGTTAGAGGAAAACCATAAGTCTTTAAGAAAAGTAAAACAGGATTAACTTGAAGGGCCAGGGAGATAGCTCAGTGGCATAAGCACCTGCCTGGCAAGTGCAAGGTCCTGAGTTCAATCTCTGGTACCACAAAACAAAACAAAACAACTACAACAAGAACAAAAAATTAAAAATAAATAAACAGGATTAACTTAAAAAAGAAAAGGACTGTCAAATCCACAACTCTTAGAGATGTTCCTCAGTGACACAGCAAATTATTCAGGTAGTATCTCTTCCTCCAAATAAACCAGTCCTGGGTTTGTTCTCACTTTTTCTGTTCCAGATCTAATATATGTCAATACATTATTTATTAACTGCACTTCCATGACCCTATCCCTCAAGGTGCTAATTCTGCCCATGATGCACTTTCTGCTGCAAAAATGGGTTTCAAGCTCTGGACAACCGATTCTCAAACCTTCTCACCAACAATCTACTTTTGTGGCTGGGACTTTTGTTCTTGAGTTGTGGCAGGGCCGGGAGTGGTGCAGATGGTAGGGATATGCTCCCGTAGCCAAACATCACATATCCCACTAAGATTTTTTTCTTTCTTGTGCCTGTTCTTTTCTTTAAACTGTCTTTTAGACACACAATGAGTTTACTATTACCCACGTGATTGTGCCAAAGCAGTCTGCGGGGCCAGACTATTGTGATGTGGAGAATGTGGAAGAATTATTCAGTGTGCAGGATCAACACGGCCTCCTCACCTTGGGATGGATCCATGTACGTTTGACGTTTTAATTCCATTTTATTTTTGTATGGTCTGTTATTTTCCTCTGGGAGAAATTTAGCTTAATTTCAATAGGTTTTAAATTTTTGAGTATAATAAATGTCATCATATCGAAGCATTTTCTTCATTGTTCACCTGTGGCTCAATCTGTCAAGTTTGGATTTGAAGAGAGACTGCTTAAGCTTTTTGGATACCATTTGAAGTTGATGGAGAAAGTGTAACATTGGGAAGTGAGATGACGCTGGTAATTTTGCTAGCAACAAAATGAAATGACACTGATGATTTTGCTAGCCTCATACAGGCTACTGAGGCTTAGCCAGGTTTTTAAAACCTGATTTGATAGATGGGTATGGTATTCTCTTTCCTTTTGCTGTGAGTCTAAACTGGATGGTTTTTAAAATTTTTCTGGAAAAGTTTCTTTTTAATAGCTGTTGTGTATATACATATCAAATAACATCCATATATTTTGCAGCACCAGCACCCCTGTGGCCCAAAGGTAGATATATTAATGTATTAACAGTATTGGAGTTGAGAAAATGGGTAGGACCAAGAACGGTGGGTTCTGACCCCTACCAGGCCATCGTGAGAGCAGAAAAAGGCTTAAAAATCAAATAATTGTATAAGTGTCACTTCCGAAGAATCCTGTGGGAATGCTGGCAAATCACTCAGCCAGTCTGAACATCAGCTTTAACATTCAGAAAATGGGGATTATAATGATTGATTTCATGTGCTAGTGAGTATTAAACGAGAAAACCCCGGTGAATTTTTTAGCCTAGTTTTCTAGGCTAAGACTTCAGCAAAACTATAAGTGTTATTATTGGTAGTGATACTCTTTCTTACCCATAGTTCGGTCCACGAAATGGATGCCTTTTCCATTCAGTCTCATACGTCTGGACCTGGGGTACTGTCCTGGCGCATTTGTGGTGCTATAAGAGGATACTCAAGCCAGGGGAATCAAGACCTTGCAGTGGTGTCTGGGAGGGCCGCTCTCTCTCCCTAGGTGGTACTTGGATGCTGTCCTCAATAGTGGCAAGTGGGAGAAAAGAGAGCATCTTCCTTGAACCCCAAGTTACTTATGGGGGTGCTAATAATCACTTTACAAGGCCACGCTACTGAATTCCGTCACACTGGAAATGACATGAACGTTGGAGGGAACAGCCTCATCCACACCATAGAAGGCGGAGCAGTGCATCCAGCTGCCATGGATGCTGCCCCAGCAGATTCCCAGAGCGCATGTGCGGCAGGCACACCCGAGAGCCCCTAGAAAATCAAAGCTAAGTGATTGGCTTGTTTTATATTATATACAAATACTGATAGGGGTAGCCACGCACATGCACATCAAGTGTTTAGTACTAGTTTAAGAGGCTGGCCAAGACTTTATTCCTTCTCCACCTATAAATTACTACAAGCCTTAGTCAAGACTACTAATCTCCTTATTTCCAAGTTTCTGCTTTGATTGCATGAGATCAGCGAATGCCATCTTGCCTCACTGGATTTATGAGAGCAGCAGACAAGATAGCAGGTGTGCAAGCCTTCTGGGAAAGTGCGACCTGGCTTGCACATGCAGGAATTAATTTACAATGAGGAGACTGGAAAGCCTTGCCATGCATCTAGCTGCTCAATAATAAATAATATGCTTTACTGTTGATTTGTGAATTGTTCATTTAAGAGCCATTATTCAGCCTAATATAACTTCTGTAGCAAGTGTATATTTTATAGTGAAATAAGTCATAGCAAAGAAATTGTAACAAACCAAAAATTATAGTTATTTAAATTACACAATCAATGAGCCAATGTTAGTTTATCACACAAAACATTCCCAAACTAAAGCAAGTATTTTTCCTGTGAACTTCACTGTATATAATTTATGTAGGAACGAATCCCAGTTGTTTAAGTTAGGAATTTGGCACAGTTCTGGAATTATAGAGCTTTGTTTTTAAACTTGTCTAATTGCATCAAATTGTTGTGGTTACAGGAAAATAAAAATACTGCATTTCTAAATATCATTGAAACCACTTTGGTGGTAGTTTTTATAGAGCAAGATAACAGCAACGAAGTCCAAAACCTACTTTTTTACAGATATAAATTTGTTATAGGGGGCCAGGGAGGTGGCTCAGTGGAATAAGCATTTCCCAGTCAAGCGCACGGGCTTCAGTTCAATCCCCGGTTCTGTAAATAAATAAATAAATAAATAAATAAGTTATAGGAAAGAAAGGCTGAATTGGAATCAGACAGACCTGAGTTCGAACTTATACTTCTTGGCTTGACTTGCTGTCTGAACTTCAGGGAGGTACTTACTCTTCTGTTTAGTTTATTTGTCTGTAACGGGGGTAATAACAGCACTGATTGCATCTTGTTGTGAGAAAGTGCCTAGTGAGCTCAGTGCCCAGGAAGTTACTATTCACTTGCAACAAATGGCATTTACCGCTTTAATCACTATTGTCATCGTCACCATCATCATCACCGTCATCAGCAGCAGCAGCAGCAGCGGCAGCATTATCAAAGTTTTTATTTCCATAGAGTCAGGGAAAGATTCCCTGAGGAGAGAGAGATGCTCATCAGGATAGAAGGGATGCTCATTGGCAGAGATGAAAGGCATAGATGGTGACGTAGTGTGCATTTGCTCTGGAAATAACCTGACAAGTGTGATTTGTCTATTTCACAACCTATTTGCTGCCTCCATATCATAGTAGTTGCTTTGAAAAATTTGCTGCCTGACCAAGGCAGAGAAACTCTTAATTTCCCCCAAGAAGGTGTTCCTTGTTAGATAACAAGCAGTCAGACCCTCCATTCATGCCCCTGCTAAATATTTGGGTTTAAAAAGTGGGCACTGGGCAGGGCATGTAGCTCTCAGTTAAGCGTGGGATCAGCCTGCGTAAGGCTCTAGTTTCAACCCCCAGCACCATACACAAGAGAATGTCAAGATAATTTTCCTTTCTTTGATAATCTAGTTCTTTATAGGCCCACGATTATATTTTTACTTTTAATCCTTCATTCTCTCAAATAGGAAGAGTTGGGAAAGTCTGTTATTTCTATGACACACGCTGGTGTTTACACACATAGGATTTTATGGTGAGCATTTGCCCTTTAGTTAATAATAACATTGAAATAGCGCAGCACTGACACCAAACAACTGTGGTTCCTTTCTGCATGCTGGACTGTGGTGTAAGAATTCTACACGGATCACCCCCTTTAATCTCCATACCCTCTTATTATCATATCATCATCAACTTTACAAATTGCCAATGGCCAAGCAGTGGGCTAGTCATCCTCACTGAGCCGTATGAGCGAATCATGGCGCCGGGACCAGATTGTGCGTGCCAAAGGCATTGTTTCATGCCTAAAATGGTCACGTTCCTTTATATATTTTTTTGAGTGCCATTAGGTTTTAATGTGAATCTTTAATCGTTATATGTACATGTATGCTTCATATTCAAGTATGAAGCTCCGATTTGTCTCATAAGTTTGTAGATAGCCAGAAACTTGGAAGACCTCCTTTGCTTTCTATCCCCCGTTCATTCTTACCATGTACTCAGGTACTGCACATGGTGGGTCCCAAGCATCTTTAACAGCCTGGAGGTGCCCGTCCTTCTTTATGGGGAGTAGCAATCCGCAGGAGGACACTCGGCAGCACGGGGCGGCATGTAGCACAGTAACATGTAGTATATGTGGTGAAAACTTCCACATCTGTGGTTTTATGTAAAAGTATTTCTGGGTCAGGGTCTGCAGTGATAGACCCTCTCCTCCTTACTGGCTATGGACCCGGCTGCTTCACCTTTCTGAGTTACATCTAAAATTGAGACAATAAAATAAATAATCATAGGTGAGTTGTAGTGATTAAATGAAATTCTATTTAAAACATTTGGCAAATCATTTCCAGCTTTTTTTGTTTGTGTGTGCTAGTACTGGGAGTTGAACTTAGAGCCTTCACACTGAGCTGCACCCCAGCTCCTTATTATTGTTATTGTAATTTTACATTTTTGAGACAGAGTCTTACTAAGTCAGTGAGGTGTCCAGGGCAGCTTGAATTTGTGGTCCTCCTGCCTCAGCTTCCCAGTGAGCTGGGCTCATGACAGGACCCACCATACCCACCTTCCAGCTTTTTTTTTTTTTTGTAAAAAGAAAATGCATAGTGCTCTGGGTATTTGCTCCAAGGAAATTGTAAGAATGCATAATTGGAAGGACTGTGGCAGCCAAACACCACTTTAAAATACTTACTTAATGAGGGTAAAAAAAAAAGAATGTGAACGAAGAATTTTCCCTTGGAGGAGCCCCTGACCCGGCTGAGCCACAGCCACCCCAGGGCTCACTGTCTCTCTGTTGACAGACGCACCCCACCCAGACCGCTTTCCTGTCCAGCGTTGACCTCCACACGCACTGCTCCTACCAGCTCATGTTGCCGGAAGCCGTGGCCATTGTGTGTTCCCCAAAGCATAAAGAGTAAGTGTGACTTGGCAGGGAGCCCAGGCAGGCTTTTGGGGGCCATTGCGACCATGTCTGTCGCACACCATGGTCCTTGGGTGGGGAGCCTCATGATGACCTTCAGAAGAGGAGAGGGCAGAGCCAGCTTGGAAGCCTCGCCCTGTGAGGTCCTGTTTGTGGAAGTGTTTCTAGTGTGGCCTTAAAGTGGATGATGTTTAAGAGGAATGCTTTGACTTGTTTGGTGGGGTGTGTGTGTGTGTGTGTGTGTGTGTGTGTGTGTGTTGGGAATTGAACCCAAAGTCTTTAGAGCCCAAGGCCTTTTAAAGCTCCTCCTACCCCCACTTTTAAAATTTTAAGACAGGATTGCAAAGTTTTTAAGTTGACCAAGTAGGACTCAAACTTGTAGTCATCCTGCCTCAGCCTTCCAAAGTACTGGGATTACAGTGTGTGCCACCATGCCCAGCTTGATTTTTGAGATTCTATTTCTACCCTTTCTTTTTTAAGTGTACGTGGTCATTGCAGGGTCTCGCTAAATAACTCAGACTCGTGGTGATCCCCTGCTTTCAGCCTCCCCAGTGCTAGGATTACAGGCATATGCCTCGACACCCAGACTCTAACCAACTCAGCCTGCCCTGGGAATGGGAGCTGGCATGACATGTTGTGCCAGGGATCAAGCCACGGTCCCTGCACTTACCTAAGCTTGCCTAAGCAGATGCTTTAGTCTGCTGAGCTATCTCACTGGCCCCCTATTGTATTTTATTGTAAGAACTTTCCCAGGCTTAGCTCCATTACTCCAGGACTGTCCCCACTTTGGGAGATGCTGCTAACTGTCAAGTACTGACACATATAGGAGCCGGTTAGGCTTATTTTGGAGGCCTGGCCTCACCCTCATGTCCTAGGATGCCTGACTGCTGGGAGCCACAGTTTCTTCCTGCCTCGTTCCTACTCATCCTGGGTTGATGTGAAGATAAAATTCCGGGATAGTTTAGCAGAGTGCCTGCCACTGCAGCAGGTTCTTGTAAACATTTCTATTGCTATGAGGAAGTACTTTCTAGGATTAGGAAAATTAAAAATGTTTGTCTCATAATTTCACTAGTGCTACTGGAGAGTGTCAAGCTCTCCTCTGTGACCTCACACAGCAGCCACACTTCCTGTCCCCATCATGATCCCACAATCCCCTCCGCCACGGTCCTTCCTTCTGGACCAGTCAGGGAAAGATTAGTTTAAAAAAAATCACTGTGGAATTCCTAGTTTTTGTTTTCTTCTTTGGTGCTATTTTGAGGAATCATGCGTGCAGTGCGTGCATTGTTTGGGGAAAACTTCTGAAATTCCAAGTGATCTGTACGTTTGTGCCTTTTTTCTTACCCTGAAATGCAGCACTGGGATCTTCAGGCTCACAAATGCTGGCATGCTTGAGGTGTCTGCTTGCAAGAAGAAGGGCTTCCATCCGCACACCAAGGAGCCCCGACTGTTTAGTGTGAGTGGGGGGGGGGGGTTGTTTTGTGTTTTTCTTTTGTGTGGTAGAGGGTCTCGCTGTGCATCTTGGACTCATAGTGATCCCCCAGCACTGGGATTATAAGCATGCTGTACCACACCTGGACTCTGTCACAGGCTCAGCACATCCAGGGGTGGGGCTAGTGTGGCATATGGTGCCAGGGATCAAACTCCAGTCCCTGTGCTAGCCTAAGCAGGCGCTTAGTCCACTGAGCTATCTCGCCAGCCCTGTGGGGTTATTTTTGCTGATACTCATTTCTCCCCTCAGCTCTTTTTTAAAGAAGAAAGTTGGCAGCAGTTGGCGGTAGGATAGCAGCCTGAATGGACTCTTAGTTCAGACTTTAGGCTTTGTATGTACGCTCTGATTTCTCTCTTATTTTATTTGCAAGGAAATGTCAGGATTTCTGTGGTAGAGCTGATTATTCATAAAGTTCTCTAGCCATTTATGCACTTGTGTGATGCTTAAGCAATGTTTCTTGAGAGTCCACATAGGCAGTCCTCAGAGAACATCATAGTAAGAGTCTCATTAATTCTTCCTGCTTGGTTTGGCTGAATTAATTTTTTCATAATGATTCAATGGAAACTGTAATCATTCTCTGTCTCTCTGTCCTCCCCCGCTTTTTCTATCTCCCTCCCTCTCTTTTTTTAAATTTTGTCATACTAGAGATTGAATCCAAGGTCTTCGAATTGAGCTACCTAGGGTTTTTTTGTATTTTTCTTGTTATTTTGAGGCACAGTCTTGCTAAGTTGCTCAGGCTAGACTTTGAGCTTGGGATCCTCCTGCCTCAGCCTCCCAGTGTGCTAGGATGACATGCATGCACCACCGGGCCTAGGCTGTAACTGTGCTTTTTTGATTAGCTTTGTACAGCCCCAAAGAAACATGATTTGACTACCTCTTTTTCCCCCTAATTATTTGCTTAAGGGTTCTATGGGCTGAAACATTGTTTGAAGACAGAATTTATTTAAAATGGAAATCACTTGGCAACTTATGCAGACAACTGTTGGTTTTTGAAAAGGAATACACATGACTGTACTTGTTCTGATGGGAATATTGGTTAAACTGGAAAATTTTCTAAACTAGAGAACCCGCACTCCCTCCCTAAAGAGAATCACATGTTAAATATTATCATATAACAGTGACTTTTTTTCTTGCCTAGATATGCAAACATGTGCTGGTAAAAGACATGAAGACAACTGTGCTGGACCTGAGGTGATACTCTCTGAGCCGAAGCACGCTCAGCACAGACACCTGCCTGTGGATGTGTGGCTGCCGGATATCCTTAAGATGTTTCCAGAAATGACTGATATTTTATATTTATACATTTTAGATCAGAAAGTTTGATATTTATTGCCTTTGCACATTTTGAAGTTTTCTTTTTCAGTTGCTTTGTCTCAAAAGAGGCCACCTGGTGTTAAATCAAGGCCTATCAATGTATCACATACTACCACCAGATAATAAATTGTGCTGCAGATTAGAGTATGTCTGGTTTTCAGGTCTTTAGATTTTTACTACATTTTAAAAAACTGATGTGAAATGTAATTCCAAATAAAATTTGGGTGCAGATAGTCTTTTGGGAGAGCCCCCTTTTCCCATGGTAGAGGAAGACAATTTCTAGTGGGAACAGGAGTGTGGCTGCAGTTGACCAAGCTTATCTTATATCACAAGTGTCACCAAATCCAGGGTTCAAGAAGGCACCTCTGTGGGGATCAGTGCAAGATTTCAGAACAACAGGCTTCAACTCAGGTTAGGGGTCAGGGGTCAGGGGTCAAGGGTCAGGCGACAAGAGAAAGCATTAGCTTGACTTAGAAATCTGAAAGCAGAGGCCTTTGAGAGAGGAATAAAAAGTAACTTGGATAAGTGTATAGAGCCTTTTACCATGAATGGTCACAGGGTGACAGGGAAAAGAAAAGAGGTAGAAAACAGTAGTACTCAGTACTTCCGCCATTCTCACAGTGCCTCTTCCTCCAGCTACTCCCTTCTTCATGAATTAATAAAACATGGTGTCTCAGTTACTCTTCTCTCATTGCCGGGACAAAATGCCCAACACCCAAAATGAAGGAAGGAAAGATTTATTTAGCTCACAGTTAGTGGAGGTTTCAGTCCATACTTGGCTGGCTCCAAGGCAGAGTGGCACATGGCAGAGAGTAGCCATTCATGGTGGTGGCAAAGAGCAAAGGGAGTGGCAGCAGCTCCAGCGGCTAGCTAGGCTCTTTTCTCTTACTTACATTTTATTGCGGATTACCTACCCCAGGGTCAGAGTGTAGCACTCACATCTGCAATCCCAGCATTGGATTAAGAATCAATCACAAACTCCAGTAACTGCCCCATGACTACATGAGGCTTTGGGGGCTGACAAGACACAAACTACAACACCCAGGTTCCATCGTGGCTGGAGGCCTCGGTTCCCATTACCCATCATCGTGGCTGGACTTAAGATGCCATGGCTCTCTACAACTACAAATATGCATTAGTGTCTTTATTCTCACCAAAGATTGTAGATTGTAGAATCTACTGGAGTGGTAGATTAGAGTTAATTCACTAGATTTCCAATAACTTTTCCATGGGATTACAAATATAAACTTCCTGGGTCAAGACAAGGACTAAGAAAGACTCTCTATATATAATTCTTAGCCAAAAAAAAAAAAAACCTAAGACAAATATATATTTATATATAATATAAATTTGCTATTACAGAGAGCATAGGAATAACATAAGTTTGAAACTGGATACACTGATGTATGTCACTAAGGCTTACAGTGATATTTGTGACAATCCAAGCACTTGTGCATCCCCCAAACCATAGATGAAACAGAAAGGATGGCAGATTATATACTCTATTAGCTAACTGAGTTGGTAGGAAAAACCTGAGTATGAAAACATTCTGGAGAAAATGTACCTGCAAATGAACGGGGAATAAAAGTGACATTGGAGACACTTTGAAAATATGCAAATAAGAGCCAGCCAAATAGCGCAGCAGATTAAGGCACCTGCAGGCACAGAGGCTGGGATTCGATCCCTGGGCCTGCTGTGCCAGCCCCCCCCCCCCCGGGCACAATGAGATGGCAATTGAGACTGGGCGTGTTGGTGAGAGTCTGTAATCCCAGCTCTTGGGAGGCTGTAAACAGGCCGATCATTAGGAGTCCAATCTCGTAAGTGAGACCCTGATCACCCTGTAGACCCTTCCCTAAAATACAAAACAAAAAAAAGAAGAAGAAGAAGAAGAAGAAGAAGAGAAGCTATATATCATTAAAAAGTTACATTGTGCTCCCTAGCCAAAGAAGGCATTCTGGACACACTTTTCCTTGCCAGAAGAGCCACAGCTTTAGGAAGGAGGTGAAACTCGCAAGATTCTTCGGGAAGGTGCTGTAATTTTCTTATTGCCAAGCACAAACCCAATTAACCAGGACACCCAGAGGAACTTGCCATGCAGTTGGATTCTTGGAGCTGCAAACCAATGCCTTGAACTTTTCTGGCAGAATGAGTCTGAAAGAAGATTCCAGAAGAAACATGGAAATGCCTTTGATACTGACCAGGAAGGAAGTAGTGTCATGTGTGCCCATGTGGCTGGCCACCAGCCACCTGTGTTTTGCTCCCAGAAGAGCCCCTTTCCAGCAGCAGGGCCTTCTTTTTTTTTTGTGGAACCGGGGATTGAAGTCAGGCCCTTGTGCTTGCCAGGGAAGCGCTTATTCCACTGAGCCATCTCCCCGGCCCCCAGGGCCTTCTTTTTTGAGCAGAAATCAGTTCTAGGTCCCCAGATGCCACTTTCTAAGGCAAAAAAGCAGATTTACCACAATTTTCCACAAATTTTCAGGTTTGTGTCTCTGAACCAGTTTAGCTTGAATATCTTGGGATTCTAGTGCTGGTCTGTTTATTGTGCACAGAGCCAGTCACCTAGAATGGAATGCTGTGATCTTTGACCCATCCTGCCTTAGAAATGTGACTGTATTTGCAGGCTGTGTCACCTTAAAATGAGGCCCCTGGCGCGACCCTAAGTCAGCATGATTGGTTCCTTGTGAGAAGATATTACAGCCCACTCACATAGAGGGGAGCGCAGGTGGAGCTGTGGGGGTAAATGGCCATCAATAAGCTAAAGATTGAGGCCTTAGGGGCCGGGGAGATGGCTCCGCAAAAAAAAAAAAAAAAAAAGATTGAGGCCTCAGAGGAAACCAGCCCTGCCCACAGGTCAGACGTGGCCATTTCTTTTGTGGACCTATGAGGAAATGTACTTCTCTTATTTAAGCTAGTCAGTCCATGGTATTTTGTTTTGGCAGCCCTAGAAAATAAATACAGTACTTAATAAATTGTTCTCTGAGAGTAAGTGTTTTTCTTTCCTCTCCAAATGATGGGAAGTGGCTTTCCTTGTTGTTACATGGGGCAGGGGCCATTTTCTCCTCTGTAGACCCTGCCAGGTGTGGAAGGGCAAGGCAGAAAATGTGCAGATTGGCTTCAGCTACTGAAATTGTTCCTGGTCTCATTTTAGTGTGGTTTTGCTTTTGAAAAATAGTGCTTCAATTTGAGACCACATCCTACAATGAGTTCATATTTCTTCCTCATTCTGGGTGACAGTGGTGCCAGAGTGGGTTATTACAACAGTTTGGCTTTCGTTGAAGTTTCTGTTGAGGAACCAGCAGAGTGGTCCCAGAGGTGGAAAGCAGAGGTTTCTCTTGCCACACATCTTGCAAACTGACGTGGCAAGAGAAGTCTTTTTGTGTGGAAGATGCTTGAGGAATGCCATGTGCTTGGCAGAGAGTAAGGAATAAAGGTAAATTTGAGGCTTTTGCTTCCTAGAAGAGGCGGCATCGTATTGGAGTGAAGCTCGTTATGCATTGTGAAGACACCCACTCTATTACGAACTCTTCTCTCTTCCTTTAAGAGAAACATTAACTTTTCTAGTACCTTCACATATCCCTGAAGCACATGTTTATTTTCTTGGGACATATCTGAAGATAAACAGTGGCTCTTAGTCACCTTATCCACATCCAAGAAGACTTTTAAAAAAAAAATTATATATTTGGTACAGGGTCTCACTGCACAGCTTAGACTCATGGTGATCCTCAGCCTTCCCAGTGCTGGGATTACAGGCATGTGTCACCATGCCCGGACTGGGTCACCAGCTTAGCACACCCTGGGGGGTGGAGCCGGCTTGGCAGATTGAACCCTGGTCCCTGCACTTGCCAAAGCAGGCACTTAGTCCGCTGAGCTATTTCACTGGCCCAAGACATTTTAAAAAGTCATCGAAGAGCATTTCTTACTTCAGACCATTGTGATGAGACAGCATAAACTGAGTGGCTAGAATAATAGCCCATTGTGGTGGCCGGGCGTCCCAGGGCACAGCGCCAGCATGGTCAGCCGCGGGTGAGGACCCTTTCCTAGCGTGCAGATGGCCTCCTCGCTCTGTCCTCATGTGGGAGCGAGAGAGGTTGATGGTCTCTCTTGCATCTCTACTTAAAGGCAGAGCTCACTAATCCCACTGTGAGGCTTCGACCCTCGTGAGAGAGTTATCTCCCAGAGGCCTTCCTCCACCCAAAAATATATATCTTAAGGGTTATGATTTTGACATATGACTCGGGGGGGAGGGGAGGACTCCAACAAACAGACCACCAGAAGGCAAGTGCTGGAAAGCTACTTTAAAAAATATCTGCATGCAGTCAGTTCTGTGTGGAGCTTCTACTGTACATCCCCTTAGGGCCCATAGCCATTGTGTTTAAAAGTACTATGCAGGTGAGTATGTATGTAACTGTCATTAAATTATCTCTGATCTGGCATTGAAATTCACCAAACACACTTAAGAAATTGCTCATTAAAGAGGTAACTTTAAAAAAGAATGCCTAGTTCATTAAGTCAGACTTGGTGTTAGATTGCACCTCCCCCACATTGTAGGGGAGTAGATCAGTACTGTGTTCCTTTTCCCAGGTAATGTTCCATTGCATGTGCTCTCCCACTGTATGTATCCCCTCATGCGCTGCTGAGCCTTTGGGCTCTTTCTACCATTTTTACAGTTTTGACTGGTAGAACACATTCACGTTTGAGTAGCTTTCAGTTCTTTTGGGTATATGGAAACTTAAGCCTAGAATCCTAAGGTCAAAGGCTTATCTTTTTTTTTTAACATTAGACTGTGTTCTTAATTCTTGTCTATTTTATTTCTTTTATTTTGACAGAGTCTTGCTATGTGGCCAAGGCTCTGGGATCTAATTTGGGATCTTGCTAAAGTAGCCTCTGGAGTGTGGATAATGGTCATGTATTTTTAACTTCTTCAGGGCCTCTAGCCTGTTTTCCACAGTAGCAGAACCATTTTATATTCCCTCTAGTGGTTTTCAAGTGTTCCAAATTCCCCGTATCTTTCCTAACACTTTTTTTCCCCTACATTTTAGCCATGATAGTAGATATACAGTAGCACCTTGTGCTTTTGATACACTAATACACAATTATCTTAATTCTTTCATATTTTATTAATAAAACAAATGATGATTATGGCTTCTGTTTTCTTTCCACATACTCATGTAGTTGTGAGTTTCCCACCTCACACCTTAATCAAGTTTATGAGCAGCAGGCTTTGAGAGAGAATGTGATTTTATGCAGGATGTTCGACTCTTGCGTGGGAGATTCAAAAACAGAGAAAAGAGAACAAATGAAAAGACCCAT